TGAAATCCTACTCGTGACGCAAATTCTACTCTAAATTGTACTTTTAATATTATTATGTAAGAATTACGGATCACCTTGCAATGTAGAGTAGAATTTGCGTCACGAGTAGGATTTTCATTTCGTATTTTCGTTGGTCGTTCGGAATCCTACTTCATCTTGTTTTTTTAAATTTTTTATGTTCTTGTTTGTGTTGATTTTTTAATAATATTTCGTATTTTCGTTGGTTGTTCGAAATCCTACTTCATCTTTTTTTATAAATTTTTTATGTTCTTGTTTGTGTTGATTTTTTAAATAATATTTATAGTATTTCTTTAGTTGCAATTGTGATACTTGTTGATTTTACACAAACAATAATTTTCTTTATTATTATTATCATTGTTATAACATTTATGAGAGACAGCATCGAATAGACATGCTGAAGGAATTAGTCTTGACACAAGTCCTTGTTCAAGAATCTGTGAGCTAAGAGTGTCCATCTTCCCTGCTATTCTTGTTCTTCCAGGCTGTTGTCAAGTTCATAATTATCATTGCATATCATAAGTCATAACATTAATTAATTGTTTGTTTTTTTAAATAAAATAAAATAACACACTTAATAAAACAGTAAAATGTAAAATCAACACCTTCTTTTAGCTGAAAACCTCCACTAAAGTATTGCAGTAAGTTGATTCCAAGCATAGCTTGGTAAAAAATAAAGGCAGTGGCTATTTTTACGGGCCCGTAATCCGACCGTGGGTGGCTATTTTTACGGCAGGATGATTTATCTATGGATTTACTCATTTTAAAACCTGGGAAACACTCTAAAATAAAAAACTAAACCCTAAACCAACCTTGGGGACTCCTAACATAACTAGGGGGCTCATAAAATGACTGGGGACGCTCTAAAAAAAACCGCCACCCTAACCCCTAAACCCTAAAAACAATAGCTAACTAGGGGACTCCTAACATAACTAGGGCTCCTAACATAATTAGGGAACATAGTGAAGTAGAAAGATAAAAAAAATCAATTTGTTAAAGTCAAAATTATAAAAAAAAAAAAAAAGAAATGGTCTGAGCTGAATTCGAACCAGCACCCGTCCGTATCCAACCCAGCGCCTTCCCCACTGTGCCACCACGATCCTGCTGCCTTATTGATGCTGATTGTCATGTTTATATGTCACTTCATTTCTATATTCCCTGCCGTAAAAATAGCTGTATACAATGAGATTACGGGACCGTAAAAATAGCCACTACGAAAAATAAATTGCTTCTTCCAGAGCTGCAGATCTGAGCATGCGCAACCACACCCAAATTTTGGAGCACATGGCAAGCTTCTTTAATTAACAAAATGGCGGAATGAGGTAAGTTGGTATGATCTGGCTACCATGATATTGCTTCTTCCTTTCGTGGAGAATGACTTTAGGGGACATGGACCAGCGCATACCCAATTGGAGTATATTGGTCTATCAATTAGCCTTGTAGCACTAACCGAAACCGAGATACACCTCGTAAACTTTTTTGACAGGACTGACTTGATGATGAAGATGAAGATGAAAAAAGGTGGCTGAACAAAACGGCCGATTCGCTGATTTTTGACTTTCCTCTTAGACAAGGTTTAGAGCCACACTAGTGATACCAATGGAGTCCTCTGGTCAAGATAAGGTCCTCTAAGAAGTCTGGTAAGCATAGGAGCTCGTTTTCCCGGTATAGCAAGGCTGCAAAAGTTGTGGCAGCCATTTTGTTTGGGGGTGAATCCTACTTAGTAACGCTAACGCGTTACTAATAGCCTTGGGTATTTTTCAAAATCTGCTACTTTTTAAAAATTGCTCATAACTTCAGAATTTGAGCTTGGAATTGGCTCAAATTTTCTATGTGAGGACATCCATATGTATCAGAAAATGTAATAAAAATTTGGGGTAATTTTGGAGCCATTTTTTGAAAAAAACCATGATGTAGAGAGGGATTGGCTCTCCCTTCCTGCCCGTTATGGTGGGCTTGGGTTGCTCCACCCACTCAGCTTTAGTTCATTACAGTACTCGAGCTCTGTCTCAATTACCAGACCCCTGGTAGATCTAATTCTCAGTGAGGAGGTGGGTTTATCTGTTGATGCTATGTGTGAGATGGACAGACTGAAGAAGAAGAGTGTATTGTTGAAGCAGGATGGGTACAGGTCG